TCCCCATATGAAATCATCAACCTATTTATTGTTACCTGGGAGGTGCCAGCTCTTTCTGCCTGCTACAACTGGCCCTTTTCCCTCCATCACCCTTTAAAACGAAACACACTAGGTTTCTGAGAGAGAAGTTAATTACTTCTCACAAAGTTAACTATTATGAAGGTTAAGGACCTTAAGAAAACACTGCACCAGATGCATTTAGGAAGGCGTTATTACTCTATGCATCCAATTCACAGCATTTCAAATGGCAGTTTTATATATATATATATTTATTTATTTATTTATTTTTTTTTTTTAGACAAGGTCTCACTCTGTTACCCAGGCTGGAGTGCAGTGGTGCGATCTGACTCACTGCAATCTCCGCCTCCCAGGCCCAAGCAATCCTCCCACATCAGCCTCTAGAGTAGCTGGAACTACAAGTGCATGTCACCACATCTGACTAATTTTGTATTTGTAGAGATCAGGTTTCACCATGTTGCCCAGGCTGGTCTTGAACTCCTGAGCTCAAGCAATCCACCTGCCTTGGCTTCCCAAAGTGCTGGGATTACATGTGAGCCACCATGCCTGGCCTTGGTGATCGTTTTGTGTTTATCCAACTTTTTGTTTCTAAATCTGAACTGGACAAACGTTCAACGTTTGAACATAACTTCTAGATGCTGAGCAGCACACACCTTGCTGAATAACAGATGACTCAAGTTCACAATACATTCTTCTCTCCCTGCTAATATGTTTATAATTTCACAAATATTCTTATATTTTTATCATATACCAAATAAGCGATTTTCAAAGTGTTATCTGTGGACTCTTTCAGGGGTGCAAATAGCTAATAGTTTTCAAACAAGGTGAGATTTGCCTTTTCACTGGGTTGCTATTTCCCCTGAAGGTGTAAAAGCAATGCTGACTAAAACTGCTGGTACTTTGGCACAATTCAGGAAACAAACTAAGAATACAATGGTATTCTTCACCATCATACACTTGAAGTAAAAGAAAAAAAAAAACAGAGACAGTTGCACTTAAGAAAGTTCTTGAGGAAGCAATAAAAATGACTGATTTCATTAAGTCTTGACCCTGAGTACACATCTTTTTACTATTCTGCAGGACTAATTAGGAAGTATGTAACAAGCCTTTCTCTACATACTAAAGCATGTCTTCAGGAAAAGCACTTGTGGAACTGAGTTGTGAGCTGAACTAGCAGCTTTGTTCATTGAGCTACAATTTTACTCAAAAGTCAACTGAAAAAAACCATGATTATGGGACTTAGGTATTTGGTAGACATTTTCTAAAAAATGAGCAAAGTGGACTTTTTACTTCAAAGAACACATCTGATAGTATTTGTGATAAAATTTAAGTTTTTCAAGTGAATTCTAGAATACTGGAAAACTTGGGCCAGGCATGGTGGCTCATGCCTATAATTCCAGCACTTTGGAAGACTGAGGCAGGAGGATAGCTTGAGCCCAGGTGTTCGAGATCAGCCTGGGAAACATAAGAAAACTCCATTTCTACAAAAAATTTTAAAAAGTAGCTGAGCTTGGTGGCAAGAACCTACAGTCCTAGCTACTTAGGAGGCTGAGGTGGGAGAATTGCTTGAGCCCAGGAGTTGGAGGCTACTGTGAGCTATGATCATGCCACTGCATTCCACCCTGGGCAACAGAGCAACATCCAGTCTCTAAAAGAAAAAATACAAACCAAAACTAAAAAAACTTCCATCTACCAATTTGCGCTTGATAGCTTCCCAGTACTTACAGACTTTTCTGATGAGCTCAGTGGTAACAGCAACAAATTTGATTTTTTTAATATTGTATAAGGAAATATGCCAACGTTTAAAAGATCTATGTAATTCAGTCAATATTTTCTAAATTATAAAATCATGCATGAGTAAAAGGTAAGACAGACCAATGGATGTTAGTGATCAGAGTATAAAATGTTCATTGAAATGTTCACTGTGGTTTCTGATTCCACAGTGAAACTAATGTTTAAGAAACTTCCACTTCTTTTGGTAGAGTATCAAAAAAGAATGGGTTCAATTATGTGAAAAGGCTACTAGGATATTCCTCCCTTTCCAACTACATTTGTATGTGGCTGGATATTCTTTTTTATATAATTAAATCAAAAGAACAATGCAACATATTTAAGGCAGAAGCCAATAAAACTGTCTTCTATTAAACGAGAAATTTAAGAGACTTGCAAAAATGTAAAATGCTATGTTTCTTATTAAATTTTTTGTATTAAATAATATAGTTATTATTCATAAAAAGTTATGTTATTGTGCAGTGGGTTTATTATTTCTTTAATAAGTTAATAAATACATTTTTTAAACATTTGTTTTAGGCTGGTCGTGGTGGCTTATGCCTGTGATCCCAGCACTCTGAGAGGCCAATGTGGGAAGATGGCTTGAGTCCACGGGTTTGAGACCAGCCTAAGCAATATTGAGACACTGTCTCTACAAAAAAAAAAAAAAAAAAAACTTAGCTGGGCATGGTGGTGCATGCCTGTACTCCCAGCTACTGGGGAGGCTGAGGCAGGAGGATTGCTTGAGCCCAGGATTCAAGGCTGCAGAGAGACATGATCACATCATTGCACTCCAGCCTGAAAAAAGCTCTTTGGAGCCCTCAATAATTTTTTAGAGTATAAATGGGTCCTGAGACCAAACAGTCTTAGAACCAGTGTACTTTGTGAACAGACTGGGTTTGTAAAGAGGGGTACATGCAAGGTGGCAAAAGGGCTTCAGAGCAGGCAGAATGGAGTACAGTCAAGCAAGCCAGGCTCAGTTCCAACTTCATCATACATATGGCCAGTCAGCAACCTCAAACAAATTTCTTTGAGCTGCAGTTTCCTCTTTACAAAATGGAACAAATGTATCCACCTCAAAAGGGTTACTATGAAAATTACACTATCTAAGAGCATCAAGTACATGTTATAATGCTGGGAACAATGTTATATCATCAGTATCTCTACATATTAAACATCCACTCTCAAGAAATAGTCCCAAAAATTTGGGGCAGCAGTAAAATCTAGTAAATCTATCATGTTATCACAGATATTTCAATGCCTTCAGATTTTCTTCTTTTTTTTTTCCTATGAAGTAGAAAATTAAAATCTAGATAATGCAAAGAGGTATTAGGATTCTCTTCCTGCATGCGAAGCAACCAGTGAGCCTTCTGAATATGCTTTCAATTCAATATTTCAAAGCATTCTATCCAAAGGATCTAGAATTGGGGATGGGTGGGTGTGAGAGAGGACAATGAAAACAAGAGAACCCTAATAAATCACAGAAAATGGTGCCAACTAAGGACAGTAAGAAAGCTGAACTGTTTTAAAAACAGCTAATATAACTGCTATCTGTAAGAAAACCTTCAAATACAACTAGCTGCTTATAACTTAAACACACTTACTAGCACTCAAGTTATCACAACTATTTGCATTCTACTTTGCCATACCATACAACTTATCTTTTTGTGCCTATGTATATTTCAATTTGCAAACACACACATGCTTTGAACCACTACAACACACTGTAATATTACCTCAGATGTAAGCAGCTTACAATCTTCTCATTTTGCTGATCATCTCTTATGTCTAGTTTAAAAATAAAGTAAAATGTGCATACTCAAGCATAATCCCAGCAGAACAAAAATAAACAAGTTTATCTTAAGTAGTAATTCATTTGAATACCATACTCAGTTAGAAACTGAATGTAATTTACAATCAAATTGCTATTTGCATTAATAATTCACAAAACAATAGAAGTTCACTATTCTCAAAATATATTTTCAGTACACTGTCTTGAGAAATAGTGGCCACTTTTAAAGTCTAGTCAGGGTTTAGGTTTAGCACACAGCAAATGTGGAAATTTGACAGTGTTGTTTCCTTAAGTATCAGTTTGGGTGCACCAGAAAAGATTTGGGCTGGGTTTACTGGAGAGCACAGGAAAGTCCATTATTACAGATGGTCACTGGCAGTAGTTTCCCATTGGAAAGTCTGGTAACCAATATTCACATCGTTCTCAAACCCTTCATGTAAGATTTTGTGTTTTCCATACTTAATATCAGCTAGGAAGCTTTTTAAAGAAAAACAGTGATGACAAAAGAGAAAAAAAGACTACCTTAGGGAATGGCTCACAGGAACAACTCGATATAATAGAAGGCCACGGGTTTTCTGGAAAACAGAGGTGACTACTTCAATGCCAGTAGTCACCACTCAAAAGATGGACTTATTTTTAAATAATACAAACAACACACTAAAGCTCCAGAAAAGGAGAGAGACTTAATCCATCAGAATTGAGTCTAAAGGTGAGGAAAATCAGCTTCTCTTATTTAATCTCCTCCATCTGCACCCCATGAACGCAGGCTGTGTCCTTACCTTATTGATGAGGACAACTAATGCTCTGAGGGGCTTGAACTCATGTGCCAGAGTAATTTTGGAAGCGAAGTCTCTTTGAATCTATTCTTTTTCTCCCCTACTATTCTAGAGCTTTGAATTATTAAGTACAAATTTTCTGCAAATAATCAAATTGACTGGAATTACATTATTTAAAAAATTCAGATGAATTGTTTATAATTAGGATATACACTTGAGGGAAAACATAAGGAATAATAATTTATGGGATTTTGCAGCACAGATTTCCAATTAGTAAAATTCAATTAAGTTTTTATTTATATTTATCTTATTATGCCTAGAGACCTTGTGATGATAATAAACCATAATCATTTAAAGCTTAGAAAATGTGCTATGTTGACATGGCAGATAGTATCCTTAGCTGCTCACTTATAGGATTAACTCATTTAATGCCCCAAGTAATCCTAAGAAGTAGATGTTATTATCCATCTCATTTCACAAGAGGGGAACTGAGGAATAGAAGTTAAGTAATTGCCCTAAAGGGACACAGCCTGTAAGAGGTAGACAGGCCTCAAACTTGGACAATAGGGCCCCAAACTTATTAATATCAGCAATTACTCATTAGAATTAAGTTTTCCAGTCAATATTTAATAGAAAATTCTTACCTCTGGTTTGCTAAGGCTGGATGACACCAAGGAACCAGATCCCACATCCAAATCCCACTGCTTTTTACCATGATTTTCAGGATCCAAGGCAGCAATTCGCCCATCTAACGTGCTGATAATTACTAATGATCTGTAAATATTAAAAATATTTTAAAAATTAAACAGGTCTCTAAGATATTGGGCACACTTATCACACACACTCAAAAGACATCCAGCCCATGTCCAGGTTTCTATTGGTAGAAAGAAAGAGGGGCCCTCTACCAATCTTGCCACAACTGTCTTTGGACCAAGACAATTTCAATATGCCCTTTATCTACTTATGTCACTTATGAAAAGCCCCAACTCATAGGTCACCCTTCATTTCACACTCTAATTCCCATAAGGAATACAATGTCCCTTGGTTTGTCTTCTTCTACCTACCTACCTCCTGAAAATCTTTCCCCTGAAACACTGTCTTCCCTGAATGTTCACTTATCTTCTTGCGCTCATAGAAACCAGGCTTTCCCTGAGGACATGGCTTCCCTACAGAAGCACAGAGAATTTTTTTCTCCCATTACCCTTGCTCAGAATGGGGTAAGTAGACTCCATGTATCTCATTGCAATTTTTAGACCATTTTTTCTCCTCTCCTCTCTGAAAATCCTCAGGATCAAACTGTTCTGTCCATTACTCCTCCTAGTAGACATCTAACTGACCCTTAGGTAACTAGCCCCATCCTGAAAAACTTCAGCTGCTGGTTTACTGCTACTACCTAATATATTTAACATGCTTCGGCCTCAGTTATTTGGGTTTTCATTATCTGTCTACCTTGTTTCAGCAACTCCTGTGGTCAGACACTAGACTCATTACAAATCACCGCAACCCCCTACCAATCAACTCCTCTTTTTGGCTCACTTCCTCTACTTCCCTAATTCCCCAACTTCTGACCCCACCAGAACCTACAAGCCACTGATACTATGACTTTCACTACCACCATGCCGTCTTCTTTCTTAACCAGTTAAAGTCCCACAGTCCTTCATCTTAAGCACTACCCTGTGGACACATCAACGCCCTACCCTGACTCTCACATGTCACACTCTGGAAGAACTGGTTGAAGTCAATCTTCTCCCCTTTCTCACTCCTACATCTGTGCAGTTGAATGTATCTGAAGAGAAACGTATCAGGTTGACTATCCTCACTTTAATTAATAACCACCAACCTCAAAAAGGCTATTAATGATGTTCAACAATCATAACACCCTTCCCTAGTCTATCCATTATGCCACTGAGCCACGTTAACCATTTCATGACTCCCCGCTCCTCAAACTTCTGATACCTGCTCTTTCAAGCTCACACATTTCGGTGACGATGCTTCCTATTTCATGGAGAAAAACAGAAGCAAATAGCTTGCTTCCTACCACATCTCTATCTATTCATCAGTACCTGGACCATGACTTCCACCTCCCCTCCTGTTAGTGCAAGTGAATTGTCCACACTCCCATCTACCACCAACACCTCCACTTAAGCAATAGAGCTCCCTTACACATTCATGAGGTCTTGATCCTAAAAATGTCTCCTCTCACCCCCAAGTCATCAATCATGCCTTCTCTACTAGAATATTCTCATCAGCATTTGCTATAAACTGAACATTTGTCACCCCCAAAAATCCATAAGTTGAAACCTAATCACCAAGGTGATGGTACTAGGAGGTGGGAACTTTGGGAGGTGATTAGTTCATGAAAGTAGGGTCCTCACTTATGATATTAATACCTTTATAAAAGCATCCCCAGAGACTCCCTCACCCCTTCCACCAAGTGGGAATGCTTCTGTGAAGAATTAGTCTTTGCCAGATACTGAATCTGCTGGTACCTTGATCTTGAACTTCCCAGCCTCTAGAGCTGTGAGAAATAAATGTCTGTTGTCTATAAACCACCCAGTCTACAGTATTTTGTTATAGCAGCATTCAAACCTGCTACTACTTTCCCCAACTTAAAAACCAAACCAGATCAAACAAAATGAATCCTTCTCCCTCCTCAAGCATCCAATCTATTTCTTACCCCTCTGCAACAAAACTTCTTGAAAAAGTTATGTATTTTCTCTAAATATCCTCCTCCCCTTCTATCTTGAACTATTTCTAATCAAGTTCTTACCCCCACCACCCCACTGAAATGGTTCTTGTCAGAGTCAGCAATGACCTTCACACTGATAAATCCCATGGTCTCACTTCACTTGACCACCCAGCAGCACCTGACCAGCAATTTCTGTCCTCCATGAAACAACTCTATGTGGTTTCCAGGACACCATGCTCTTTTTTTTTCGGACTCAGTACTATGCTATTCTTTTTCAATTTCATTCTCTGGTTCCTTCTTATCTTTGCTATCTCTTAAAATAGTCTCTACCTGCATGTAACTTTTTTGGTGATTTCATCCAGTCTCATAGCTTTAAATACCATCTATATGCTGGCAACCCCCAAATTTATATCTGGTTCCAGGCCTCTCCCCTGAACGGTAGACATACATATCTAACCACCTACCCAATTTAGATTGTCTACTAGGCTTCTCAGAATTCACATATACACAGACAGATTCCTCCAACTCTTCAAATACATCATGCAAAATTTTCCCTTAGGGCCTTTTCAGCTACTGTTTCTTCTGCCTGGGGCATACACCTCCAGCTACACAACAGACTCTCCATAACTTTTTCTTTTCTCTCTCTCTTTTTTTTTTTTAAGACAGAGTTTCGCTCTTATTGCCCAAGCTGGAGTGCAATGGCGCAATCTCGGCTCACTGCAACCTCTGCCTGCTGGGTTCAAGCAAGTCTCCAGCCTCAGCCTCCTGAATAGCTAGGATTACAGGTGCCCACCACCAAGCCCAGGTAATTATTATATTTTTTAGTAGAGATGGGGTTTCACCATGTTGGCCAGGCTGGTCTCGAACTCCTGACCTCAGGTGATCCAACCACCTCAACCTCCCAAAGTGCTGGGATTACAGGTGTGAACCACCTGCCTGGCCTAAATATTTGTTTAAAGGACGACTTGTACAGTTGTTCTAGAAATTTGTTAGATATATTTTTCAGCTTTAAAGACCATGCTGCAACTTTATCTCTCCTGTATCACTTGATGCACAATGTATATAAATTCAAAGTAGAGCCGCTAGTTGACCAAGACAGACATGTGCAAAGTAAACCCATTTGAAACCCTTCAAAGAGCAATTAATTTAGTTTCCAAACACTACACTAATTCTAATTTTGAATTTTTTGAATGGCAACTTAGTCTGACTTGTGAAAGTAAAGACTTTGCCATCCTACAAACTCAAGTAATTTTAAATAACAAACCAAAAGAGAACCACCCAACTTCCTGCCCTACATATTATCCTTCTGCTTTCTAAAGAAATTTATTAGGAGTTGGTAAAGCAAAAGGATACTTTGAAAAAAAAATATTTTATAATAAAGAGTATAAAAAGTCACACCTTAGATATGCCACTTGATAAATAAAACAACAGAATCTAATTAAGTTAGAGATCAACAGTTAACCACCAAGTTAACTATTTCCCAGTCCCATTGTAGAGATGTTTCATTTTTCTGTTCAAGAATCATTAACCACAAATAAATGGCTGAATGAAAAAAAAAATCTAATTGAAACAAAATTTAGCATGAGCAAACAGTGTTGACCCATGAAAAATTAAGGACACCATTAGAACACTTCAAATACTATTTTCCTTTTAAATTCTGGACAAACGTTTTTCCCCCTACTTGGACATTCTATTTACTACAGTCCAAAAAAGCTATACTTTTTCTGAATATGTTGCTAGTTGTGTGCTAAAAGTATATTCAGAGAATACCATTCTAGCTCTCATCTTCAAGACAAAGAAAAATTCAACAATAAAATATGCATATACATATCATTATGTATAAGAACATGTTTTAATAAGTAATCTGGTATTTCATATTTAACTATTCTTTCACTGAAAACCTATAATGAGGTTATACTTAACTGAGTCAAATACTCTGCTTTCTGGCCAATATGTTCTGCTTTTGAAAGTAAGATATTTTTATTAACTATTATGTTTAGGCAGTATGTGAATATTTGAGCAATGTTTAAAAATATAAACATGGGCAGGAACAATTGAGTATCTCACTGTTGGCTGGGTGTGGTGACTCATGCCTGTAATTCCAAAACTTTGAGAGGCTAAGGCAGGAGCTGCTTGAACCTAGGAGTTCGAGACCAGCCTGTGCAACATAGTAAGACCTCATCTCTATAAAAAAAAGTTTTTTAAAAATTAGCTTGGCATGGTGGCACATGGCTGTAGTCCCAGTTACTTGGGCAGCTGAGGTGGCAGTGTCATTTGAGCCCAGCAGTTCAAGGCTGCAGTGAGCTAAGACCGCGCCACCATGCTCTAGCCTGGAGGACAGAGTGAGACCCTGCTGCAAATATAAAATAAAATACAAAGTATCTCCCTTACTTTCTTAATGGCAATTGATACTTAATCTAGCGCTTAGATTTGAGTGGGGTACCCTTTATTATTTTGAACCCTTGAAATGAGAATAACAGCAAATCCCCTAACAATTCTATCAGGTATCAAAAAAGGTTATTCTTCCTCTCTTGTGTTACAAGCCAGCTATAGTATTCATTATGGGCTCCTCCCCACAAGCATGTTTCTGGAACGGAGGTACCCCTTCTGATGTGGTTGGAATTGAGTAGCACTACTAGGGCAATAAAGATTTTCTACTATACCTAATCACCGTCGAAGAGAGAGGTGCTTATTGGCACAACATAGATCAAGAAAATCACCGTCTAAGAGAGAGGTGCTTATAGGCACAATATAGATCATCTCTGTCAGTAAACACTTCAGGCTGAATGCAGAGATGAACAGAGGATACCAATGAGTTACAGCATTTAGTGCGCTATTCCAATAACAAAGACATGGAATCAACCTAGTGCCCATCAGCAGTAAACTGGATTTTGAAAATATGGTACATATGTACCATGGAATACTATGCAGCCATAAAAAATAAAATCATGCTTTTGTAGCAACATGGAGGGAGCTGGAGGCCATAATCCTAAGAAAATTAACATAGAAACAAAAAACCAAATAACTGCATGTTCTCACTTATAAGCAGAAGCTAAACATTAAGCACACATGAACACAAATATGG